ATATATATATATATATTCTATATTATTTTAAAAGGGAGTTTATGCCCAAGTTCTACTATATAATAAATATAATATATAATTTTCAAGAAACTTCTCCTATTTTATTATATAGCTTTTAAATATTTTAAAGTTTTTTAAGTCATTTGTAAATAATATATGTTGATTCCTTGATTGGGATTTTTCCATTTGTGATATATATATATATAGATAGTTAAGCCAAACTCTGCAGAAAATCAGCACCTTCCTCTCTATATAAATGTCACCTGGATAGAGGACGCACCATTTTTTCTTCTACTTGATCCTCAGAAGATGGCGGCAACCTCACCAGATCTGATTGGCTCCTTGAGAGTGAACCTGCAATAAGTTGGACCAGCTCAACATGCAGATTCGATCTCATATTAATAGATAGAATAAACTACAGGGGCAAAAACTGAAGGTAGCATAAAATCAAATGAGAACAAGCCATGCTCGCGGGTTGTTTGAAGAATCAAAGGTCATATGTTCTATAATTGAAATCAACGTGTTTTTCTGCACAAACTAAATTACACAACCGTGCTTTGTTTACGTTGTTTTCAATGCTCAATACGTTCATGGGATAAAAAGTTGAGTCAATATTCCACAGAAACAACATTCGTGACAATGAAAACGGGAGACAGAAAAACATATAAGTAGCAAAGAGTTTTACCATCACGATGTGGTTTATCTGTAAGCAACCTGTTTCCTGCCACCCCTGAATTCAAATCAAAAAGGTTCACCATTCGTCCCAAGCATCCTGGAGAAGGTTTATCATAAGTACGACTCCTGCCATTCTGAAGTCCATTCATCTTAATTCCTGAGATTGCATAATGAAGATCATAAATCCCAAAGTGCACATCAAGTAATCCCTTCTGAAACTTAAAAAGTTTTAAATCACCAACAATGTCTCACCTCTATTCATATCTACACAAAGAGATAGGCATTCAACATATGTTTAATATGGAAAAAGGTATGCTTTTACAGGTATAGACCTATCTATGCAAATAGAAAAAAGGGAGAGATTTGGACAGAAAACAATTCAATATACAAAAAGCATCATTCTTCATTGACTGCAACTACATGAAACTATGAAAGGTAAAATCAAAGAGAAAATTACAGTGATCAATGACCGGACAAAGTAACCAAGGAAAAAAAAAATCATAGATGCTGAACAGAAGAAGATCAAAACTCAAACTGCACGCCTTGAAGCTTTCATGCAGAAAACTCTGAAGAGATTAAGTTGATTGAATTAGTGGCATTCAGAATTTTGAAGAGTTTTTCAAAACAAAAATTTCACAATTTTGCAAAAAAAATGTTCTTCAACCAAATGCCACAAAACGCCATTGATCACTGTAATTTTATTGTTGTTGTAACCAAACGCCACAAAAGAAAATGTTTTCAGTTTTTGTAAGACTGAAAAACTGCTCCATAGTCGTTTTACTAAACAATTCCTTCAAGAGAAAGACCAACTGAAATACACTCTAAAAAAAGAGAACACACCTTTGCACTAGTATCATTCATGGCAAACATACAATCTATATCATTATATTATTTATACTTGTAAAATCATGTTATAAATTTTCTAGGAGTTTTTTTAATCATGTTTATAATAATTTTAAACTATTAATGTATTTTTGAAATTTTGTATTATTATGTTATTTTATTATATTATGAATTAAAAATTTAAATATCCACCTTGCCCCATCTCATGCCCCACCTTTTAAAACACTAATACAGATCAGTCGCAGCTAACACACATAAACATCTATTACAGATATAAGTAATTTCAGAATGAAGTGTTGGGCTCTCACCAATTTTGCATCAGTAAGTTCCTTTACAAGACGTAAATCATGGAAATAAACACAGATAATGATGACGAAATAAAAATCAAACTAAAATTCGGAAATGTATTCACTGGAAAAGCACAATTACGCCAAAAACGAAAGAAAAACAAAGCAAAAGATGTATGTAGAGAGAGAACGATTCAATTTATTTACCTTAGAAAAATGAGATCGAAAGGGATTGCAGAAAGCGAAAACAGAAAAAGCACCAGCAGCTCCACTAGAAGCTTCACAGCTCAAAGCAACAGAGTGAAGTCAGATAAATGCGATGTGCGTTTGCTTAAAGGTGTTTACCCCGTAGAGTGGTCGGTGGAATCGAAAAACTAACGTTCCGGAGAAAATGTGGCCGTGTATTCGGATTCGCGGACTGTTAACTGAAATTATTTTCACGGCAGAGTAGTCGCCGGTAAGGTAGAACTGACATTCCGGCGAAATGTGACCGGAGATTCAGCTTCGCCTAAATTCTCAGATAAAAGTTCTTCAGTCGAGCCTCAGATAAAAGTGGTGCTTCAGTCGAGCACTCGCCGATGTCGGAAATATGGCCGGAGCTTCGTTCACCGACTAAGGGACTTGACTAGTTTTTGTTTTATTTGTGATTATTAATGAGTCTTTTGCAGAGAGAGAAAGTAAAGGAGAAGTGAAATGGAAATTTTCCTCATCAATAAGGACAGAATAAATAAACATTTCTAAATAAAGTAAAAGTAAATTTATTTGACAATGTGAAGTCCGATCCTTATTCTTTTAGGTAATTGTATTATGACCCACATTATATTTTTTTCATTGACATTCGCCCTCCACACCAAAACACTATATAAGCATTCTTGAATTTTGTACCAATATATTATATTTTTTACTATATTATAAAAGAGAGTTTAGGCCCAAATATAATATATAATATTCAAGATTGAGACTTTTCCCAATCTTGAATATTATATATTATATATTATATTTGGGCCTAAACTCTCTTTTATAATATAGTAAAAAATATAATATATTGGTACAAAATTCAAGAATGCTTATATAGTGTTTTGGTGTGGAGGGCGAATGTCAATGAAAAAAATATAATGTGGGTCATAATACAATTACCTAAAAGAATAAGGATCGGACTTCACATTGTCAAATAAATTTACTTTTACTTTATTTAGAAATGTTTATTTATTCTGTCCTTATTGATGAGGAAAATTTCCATTTCACTTCTCCTTTACTTTCTCTCTCTGCAAAAGACTCATTAATAATCACAAATAAAACAAAAACTAGTCAAGTCCCTTAGTCGGTGAACGAAGCTCCGGCCATATTTCCGACATCGGCGAGTGCTCGACTGAAGCACCACTTTTATCTGAGGCTCGACTGAAGAACTTTTATCTGAGAATTTAGGCGAAGCTGAATCTCCGGTCACATTTCGCCGGAATGTCAGTTCTACCTTACCGGCGACTACTCTGCCGTGAAAATAATTTCAGTTAACAGTCCGCGAATCCGAATACACGGCCACATTTTCTCCGGAACGTTAGTTTTTCGATTCCACCGACCACTCTACGGGGTAAACACCTTTAAGCAAACGCACATCGCATTTATCTGACTTCACTCTGTTGCTTTGAGCTGTGAAGCTTCTAGTGGAGCTGCTGGTGCTTTTTCTGTTTTCGCTTTCTGCAATCCCTTTCGATCTCATTTTTCTAAGGTAAATAAATTGAATCGTTCTCTCTCTACATACATCTTTTGCTTTGTTTTTCTTTCGTTTTTGGCGTAATTGTGCTTTTCCAGTGAATACATTTCCGAATTTTAGTTTGATTTTTATTTCGTCATCATTATCTGTGTTTATTTCCATGATTTACGTCTTGTAAAGGAACTTACTGATGCAAAATTGGTGAGAGCCCAACACTTCATTCTGAAATTACTTATATCTGTAATAGATGTTTATGTGTGTTAGCTGCGACTGATCTGTATTAGTGTTTTAAAAGGTGGGGCATGAGATGGGGCAAGGTGGATATTTAAATTTTTAATTCATAATATAATAAAATAACATAATAATACAAAATTTCAAAAATACATTAATAGTTTAAAATTATTATAAACATGATTAAAAAAACTCCTAGAAAATTTATAACATGATTTTACAAGTATAAATAATATAATGATATAGATTGTATGTTTGCCATGAATGATACTAGTGCAAAGGTGTGTTCTCTTTTTTTAGAGTGTATTTCAGTTGGTCTTTCTCTTGAAGGAATTGTTTAGTAAAACGACTATGGAGCAGTTTTTCAGTCTTACAAAAACTGAAAACATTTTCTTTTGTGGCGTTTGGTTACAACAACAATAAAATTACAGTGATCAATGGCGTTTTGTGGCATTTGGTTGAAGAACATTTTTTTTGCAAAATTGTGAAATTTTTGTTTTGAAAAACTCTTCAAAATTCTGAATGCCACTAATTCAATCAACTTAATCTCTTCAGAGTTTTCTGCATGAAAGCTTCAAGGCGTGCAGTTTGAGTTTTGATCTTCTTCTGTTCAGCATCTATGATTTTTTTTTTCCTTGGTTACTTTGTCCGGTCATTGATCACTGTAATTTTCTCTTTGATTTTACCTTTCATAGTTTCATGTAGTTGCAGTCAATGAAGAATGATGCTTTTTGTATATTGAATTGTTTTCTGTCCAAATCTCTCCCTTTTTTCTATTTGCATAGATAGGTCTATACCTGTAAAAGCATACCTTTTTCCATATTAAACATATGTTGAATGCCTATCTCTTTGTGTAGATATGAATAGAGGTGAGACATTGTTGGTGATTTAAAACTTTTTAAGTTTCAGAAGGGATTACTTGATGTGCACTTTGGGATTTATGATCTTCATTATGCAATCTCAGGAATTAAGATGAATGGACTTCAGAATGGCAGGAGTCGTACTTATGATAAACCTTCTCCAGGATGCTTGGGACGAATGGTGAACCTTTTTGATTTGAATTCAGGGGTGGCAGGAAACAGGTTGCTTACAGATAAACCACATCGTGATGGTAAAACTCTTTGCTACTTATATGTTTTTCTGTCTCCCGTTTTCATTGTCACGAATGTTGTTTCTGTGGAATATTGACTCAACTTTTTATCCCATGAACGTATTGAGCATTGAAAACAACGTAAACAAAGCACGGTTGTGTAATTTAGTTTGTGCAGAAAAACACGTTGATTTCAATTATAGAACATATGACCTTTGATTCTTCAAACAACCCGCGAGCATGGCTTGTTCTCATTTGATTTTATGCTACCTTCAGTTTTTGCCCCTGTAGTTTATTCTATCTATTAATATGAGATCGAATCTGCATGTTGAGCTGGTCCAACTTATTGCAGGTTCACTCTCAAGGAGCCAATCAGATCTGGTGAGGTTGCCGCCATCTTCTGAGGATCAAGTAGAAGAAAAAATGGTGCGTCCTCTATCCAGGTGACATTTATATAGAGAGGAAGGTGCTGATTTTCTGCAGAGTTTGGCTTAATACTAATGATATGGTGCATGCAGGTTGTCTCGGGTTTGAAGCGGACTAATTCAAACAGGAAATCAAATGGAATGCCAATGAAGATGCTCATAGCCCAAGAAATGTCCAAGGAAATAGATTCTAGACACAATCCACCTAGTGTTGTTGCTAAACTGATGGGGCTTGATGCTCTTCCGCAGAAATCTGTTCCAGCTATAAGAAGTCATTTTGGAGGTCATTCACGGTGTCATACAGATTCCTCTTTCAGCTATTGCCAGGACGAAAATGAATCCTTGACGGAAGAACTGCAGCAAGAATTACATCAATACCCCGAGCAGAATGAATATAAAGATGTTTATGAAGTTTGGCAGCACCCCCCAAAAATGAACTCTGTGAGAAGTAAATCCCCACAAAAGGCAAGACACGATGAAATTAGTTTTGAAAAGAAGTCAGCTTTTGTTCGTCAAAAGTTTATTGAAGCAAAATGTTTATCCATAGATGAACAACTTCGCCAGTCTAAGGAATTCCAAGATGCATTGGATGTCTTAAGTTCCAACACGGATCTGTTCCTCAAGTTTCTGCAAGAACCAAATCCAATGTTTACTCAGCATTTATATAATTTGCAGTCTATACCTCCTCCTCCTGAGACAAAGCGAATAACTGTTCTAAGACCATCAAAGATGATTGATGATTGTAAATTTAGTGGATCAGTGAAGAAAAATGAGAAAAATATAAGGAGAGCCATCCATATAGATCAGGGCAACAAGGCCAAAGCTCATATGGAATTTTCCCCTCCTGTAGCAAGTTGGAACATTGATGAAAGTCATGCTCAACCTACACGAATAGTCGTATTAAAACCAAGTCTTGGTAAGACTCACAACTTTAGGGATGCAAGTTCTTCACCATCTGCATCACCAAGAGTATCACAAACTGAAACAAGTTTTGTCAACATGGAGGCTAATGAAGCTCAAGAATCAAGAGAAGTGGCAAAGGCTATTACACAGCACATGCGAGTAAACATAGGTGGACATCAAAGGGATGAAACAGTACTTTCTTCTGTATTTGCAAATGGCTACATTGGTGATGAAAGCTCATTTAATAAATCTGAAAAAGAGTATGCAGCTGGAAATCTCAGTGATTCTGAAGTCATGTCACCAGCTTCTAGGCACTCATGGGAATATATCAATAGGTTTGGCAGCCCTTATTCTTGTTCCTCCTTGAGCCGTGCTTCTTATTCCCATGAATCTTCAGTTTCCAGAGAAGCCAAGAAGAGACTTTCGGAGAGATGGGCGATGGTGGCATCTAATGGCAGTTGTCAAGAACAAAGACAAATGAGGAGAAGCAACAGCAGCACTTTAGGTGAAATGCTTGCTCTTTCTGAAATTAAGACGACCAGAAGAATGGAGCAGGATAATATTAAAGAAGATCCCCAGATTTCAAATTCCAACTCTGTGAGTAAATCCAAAGATGATGAAGGTATCAACAAGTCACCAAAGAATCTTTTGAGATCTATGTCTGTTCCTGTATCCTCTACTGCATTCAGTTCACAGTTGAATGTGGATGCCCCAGATCCCGTGACAGGAGAAAATGACCTTCCCAAGCATACAACAAAATCTAGAAGTACAAAATCATCATTGAAAGGGAAGTTCTCAAATCTCTTTTTCTCTAGAACCAAAAAGCCAAACAAAGACGGAGCCAAGTGTTTGCAATCCAATGATGACTTGCAGTCCGGCGCAAAGCCTTTACATTCTCTATCAGAACTTGACAAATATAGTGGTGTTGATGATCCAGGGGTTGAGTGCTCAACAACCAATATTCGCGAATCATCATGTGCACTAACTTGCGAAGATTTGGTTGGGAAACAAACCGCAACCTCTCCTGAGGTAAAGCAGTTACCTGATGTTTCTTCCTATTACTCTGTAGCAAGTTGGAAAAGGGTTATTTGCATTTTACATCATTATTTTGTTTGTGGTTTCGGTCTACACATCTTTTATGTCATGCATTTACAATGTCTTGCATATTTTATGACACTCTGTGATGTCTTTAAAAAATTCTCTTTTTCATTTTAATGTGTGGGAATTGTCTGAAAATGGATAACTCAAATAGCGTCAACATGACTACTTAAGAAGTTCAAAGCGGATTTATGTTATAACACTTTTGTAGGTTGTGCTCTTTGGAGCAAGATCTTTGCGC